AGCCCAGGCCGACGAGCGGGGTTGCCCGCGGGTGCTTTCCACGGCGGTGCCGGTCAGCAATGCCGGTTAAGCGCGGTGCGGTGCGGCGCGGCAGGGAGCCGAGCGTCTCCGGATGGAGCCGGGGGTTCCGCCCCTCGGCGGCCTCGCACGCCCCGGTGCCCGCTGCCCTCACCGCTCCTGTCTCTGCCCTGCAGGTTCCCTGCCTGTGCAGCGGTGCCTCCTGTTTGCTGTGCCGGTGTTGTCCCAACAGCAAGAACTCGACAGTGACGCGTCTCATCTATGCCTTCCTCCTCCTCCTCAGCACTGTTCTTGCCTGCATCATGCTGGCACCGGGGATGGAAGAGCAGCTGAAAAAGGTACGGAGGGGAAAACCCTTCTACCTATTTGCAAAACGTTTACTTGTGCCAGTGACTGTTGAGCCCCTTTACCTGGAAGGGGTTACGTGAGAGGCACCAACACCCCAACGTCCCTTGTCCCCCAAGTCAAGAGGCTGCACGTACTGACCAGCTTCTAGCTGAGACAGCAAATGCAGTGAATGTACGCGTTTCAGTACGTGCCTGGTCTCTGAAACCTGGCCAGACCTGGAGGTTGCCAGTTGTTATCAGAGCCCTGCCGCTTTGCTATCTTTATCCTTCTGGATGCTTTTAGTGATGACATGGGGAAAGAAAGACAATAATAAGGTCTGTGCAGGCCCCCTGAGCACAAGGTCTCTTGTTATCGGATCTCCCAGAAGACAGCTGACTGAAAGCCTTAGCTGTTGGGGTGGTTAAAGAGTGTAACTGCAAATGCAGACGCAAATTGACAACTAAATGTGTCTTTGCTCAGATACCTGGATTTTGTGATGAGGGGCTTCATACTCGGATACCGCATATGGATGGCTTTGTCAGCTGCGATGTGTTTGTTGGATACAGAGCTGTGTATCGAATCAGCTTTGCTATGGCAGTGTTCTTCTTCCTCCTCTCTCTGCTCATGATAGAAGTGAAAACAAGTAATGATCCGAGAGCCGCGGTGCACAACGGGTATGTGTGTGAGCCAGCCGTCTGGCCTTCCAGCTTGCGTCCTCTCTCAAGTTTCTTTGCTGAACACAGTGGTGAATTGTTTATGCGTATGCTGAACCAAATGCAGAGTAATGCTTTAGTCTTCTAAAAAGCTTCCGATTTGTGTAACGTGCTCAATGTACCGATAATGCTCTGAGGCTGGGTGGCCCAAAGGGCTCTGGGCACCCCTCTGTTCCCACAGAGACGCCGGATTTCGGCGAGTTTGTGTCCCCAGCCTCGCACTGGCTCTGGGGCTCGTTGGGTCGTTCGCTAGGCCATTCCGACTCAGTGAGCCAGCAGAAACCGGGTTCTGATTCCTGATTCGCTGATTTAAGTGGGTTAGTCCTGGGCTGGATGACTGAATTATGATGGAGTCACTTAAATTGAAAGAGCCCTTTGGAGCTCATGCGCTCCAGCCCCCTGGGTAGAGCAGGACCCACTGGGAGCAGGTTGCTCGGGGTCTGGTCTAGTTGAGTTTTGAATGTCCCAAAGGATGGGGATGCTTTGACCTCTCTGGGCAACCTCTGCAATTTTTTTGCAATATCTAACTGTAGTTTCTCTTTTTGCAGCTTGCATATATTGCCTCTTGTCCTTCCACTGTGCACCTGCAAGAAGAGTCTGGTTTTGTCATCTTTACAGCTTTTAGGCAGTTGAAGACAGCAATTAGACCTCCCTTTTCCCTTCTCCAAGCGGAACGGCGCGGAGTTAGCGTTCCTCCCTGCAAGGCTGAGCTGCTGACTCGTGTTCCGTTTGCTGGAGCAGGAGCTCCTCTTTCAGCAAAGCTTTCTAGCCAGTCGGCCCCCGGTCTGTCCCGTTGCACGGGCTTTTTCTGTCCTAGGTGCAACGCTCTGTATTTGCCTGTGTTGAACTCAGGTTTCTGTCAGTCCACGCCCCCAGTGTATCGGCTGTTGCTTCACCCCCTCCCCCTGATTTGGTGAACGTTTTTATCTATAATCCCACTGAACGCAACTTTTTTTTTCTTTGAATTTCTGTTAGACGCTCCTCTGCGCACAGCAAGCTGCTTGCAGATCGTGTAAAACATGACTATTGTGTGCAGAGTAAGACCAATATTTTCAACTTTTATCTTCTCTTAAAGGTTCTGGTTCTTCAAAATAGCTGCCATTGTGGCTATCATGGTTGGAGCGTTTTACATTCCCGAAGGGCCTTTCACAAGAGGTACAGTTAATACGTCATCACGGAATTCCGTTCAATAAACTCAGACCTTCTCACAGGCTTACCAGGTGGTAGCTGTGACAGGGAAGTTATCGTGTAGGAGACACCGATTCCGCCCTGCTTCATTAGAGTGTCTTGGTTCATCCAGTATTTTGGTGACCAGCTGAAGTTGTGGCAATACGCAATCTCTTCTCCAGTGCGTTGGTGTTGCGTATCAATAATTCGGTACGCCGTGACGCGAGCGCTGCTGGGCTGAGTCTCTGACACTCTCTAGGTTACAGGCAGCTCGGAACACTGGCAAGTGCTAAATACTCCCCTAGAGTCTCTGAAAAACCTGTGCAAGAAACCTTTGTTGTCTGGCCACGTCGCAGGAACTTGAAAGGGTTGTTGATCCTCGGAGAAAAGTGGCACAATGGTACTTATGTACGCGAAGACGTCTCACGTTAGATCTCGCGTTCATTCTGAAAATATCTTGGGCTAAATATTCCCATGCTCAGCTTGAGCGGCATAGGCTGCACCCTCGAATAGCTGGGACTTCTCACATGCTTCTGCAGGACGGAGGCCAAAGTGATCAACAGCATCTGCATTTCTAAATATATTTTCAGATTTTTTCATTATTTGTCTGCAGTATATAATTAGGAGCTTTTTTTTTTTTTTTTTTTTTAAACCGGGGTAGCATGCAAATGACGAAAGCTAACTCTGGTTTTCTTCCTCCCTTTTCCAGCTTGGTTTGTTATTGGTATTGTTGGAGCCTTCTGCTTCATTCTTATCCAGCTGGTGCTTCTTGTGGACTTTGCTCACTCCTGGAATGAGAGCTGGGTTGAGAGAATGGAGGAGGGAAATTCTAAATGTTGGTATGCAGGTAGGAATCTTACCCGCCAAAGGATTTGTGTCTGCTGGCCAGTGCTCTGCAGAGTACCGCTTACTAGTTTGCAAACCTACCTGCAATTACACTCCACGGTCTCCTTGAGTCACGACTGTGACATTTGGAATTAATGGCTGCAGCGTTGCCTTTTTCTCATGAAATGAAATGCAAAATATTTTAGGCTTGTGCTTAGCAGATCTGACAGTCATAATAAACACCGCTGGTCTGGTCCGCAGTGCGGGAGCAGAGCTCGCAGCCCGGATCTCTTCAGCTCCGGCTTTGCCTTGCCGCCTCCCCTGCCGAGGTCCTCGGGAGCTCAGTTATGTTGGTGGCAGCGGCTGCAGTGCAACACACCGCACGTCTCGGCGCCTGCTCCCGAGCTGACCGCTGAATTACAAAGCGCTAATTGTGGTGGTTCTTTGCTCATAGCTACGAATGCTGCAGCGGCATTTTGCAGCTTCTTGTAAAGAACATAGCAGAATGGAAATGAAAACGGGTGGCCTCGAGCATTGAAGGGGGAATTCAGGGCTTGTAAGTGGCCCATGAAAAGTGCAAAAAGCACTCTCGTTCTGACACCGTGGCTTGACAGCAGTTAAACTGATTAAACTGCGGCTGAAAGGCAGGTCTTATTCCCCTGACGGCAGCGTTGGCTTTCCTCTGAGCTACACTGCTTAGTGAGCTGAAGCAGAAATTTAGCCATACCTAATAAAAACGCATTCTGCTCGCCTGGTTTTCTGAACCAGACTTCCCAGTGAGGAGGAGGGACTGTCTCATTCCGGTGGTAGCTGGTCATTAAATCACCTTAGACGTACCGTTAACTACGTGCCTGTTGTAGCAGTTTTTTTCCTTCCAGCTCTGCTGTCCTGTACAAGCTTGTTCTACGCCTTGTCGCTGGTTTTTGTTGTGCTCTTCTATGTTTTCTACACCAAGCCTGATGACTGCACTGAGAACAAGTCCTTCATAAGCATCAATATGATCCTGTGCATTGCTGTCTCCATTGTTTCTATCCTTCCAAAAGTTCAGGTATTATTTTTCTCTTCTATTTTCTTCTGATGTACAAAGCAGGGAAGTAAGAAAGATGTAGTACCAATTCAGTCAGACATAAGAACTTCAAAATTTGGCTATCATCGTAGCTATGCAGCTAGGAACGTTTAAAAAAAAAAATCTTGCTCTGAAACCGATGCCCTAGGTAGTGACATTATTTCCTGAAGACGGGCTTTTTTTGGCTACGCTGTTTTGGACTTTGTTTCCATGGGGGACACTGCTGGTGTGGTTTTAGTGGTGAAGGTTCTGGCAGAAGGGAGAAACCCGTTAGGGAAAAGCAAAATAAGCTGGGAATTTATTGGCTTCATCCTGTGGCTTTGAAACTATGGGTCAGTGTGTTTAGCATGAGAGGAAGCATGGAAGAGGAATCATGTTACTTGATTCTGAACTGGCATTGCTCGAATAAATCGCATGCTAGATTCGTAGCTACAAAACTGTTAAGCAAGTTGGGATTAACTCAGTAAGAACCCATAACCAAGTCTTGGGCAGAGAAAAACTGGATTTGGTTTGCTTAGTCCTTCCATGTTTGAGTTGCTCGCTGCATGAATTGTATGACTCTAAGGAGTTTCTTCCGGTCTTTCAAACATGGAACAAAGCCCAGTGCATTTCTAAAAAATAAAGTTTTTTATGCTAATAATTGTTGACTCTGTGGCAGTGGGGTAAAACTACCCAGCTGTAGGTAAAACTTGCCCTTTTGACCTTGGCTGGCTCTTCTCTCTGTGATCAGGAACATCAGCCCCGCTCTGGCCTCCTCCAGTCCTCCGTCATCACGCTCTACACCATGTATCTGACTTGGTCAGCCATGTCCAACGAGCCCGGTAAGCACCAGGCCGTCTGGAGCAACGTATTTCGGTGTGAAAGCAGAAGCTTTGATGGGGCTCGTAGCTGTACAGATCACTGGGGGGGATTGCTGGTCTGTCTAGCTAAAACCTAGCGAGGCAGTAAATCTGGTTTTACTGACCCCATCGACTTGCCTCCTCCCAGAACTAAACTGGAGTATTTGTGAAGGGAAAGAAAACCGTGTCAGGGCATTCTGATTTTATTTAGTTATTTATTACACCCTTGCCTAGCTCACAGGAAGGAAAAACACGCCGTGTCATTGCTGCCTCTGGGGAATTGAAGTGACCAGCAATTAAAGGGAATAAAAAATTGCAAGCTGATCTGTCATCTTTTCTTAGCTAAATGCTGGCAAAGCTCCTCTCTCTGTAACCTGCCTTGAAACCTCTTTCAGAACGAAACTGCAACCCAAGCTTGCTGAACATCATCACCCAGATAGCTGCACCCACAGTTGGTCCGGCAAATACCACGGCGGTACCTGCTACGCCAGCTCCCCCCAAGTCCCTGCAGTGGTGGGATGCCCAGAGCGTTGTTGGACTGGTTATCTTTGTCCTTTGCCTCTTGTATTCCAGGTGGGATCTGCACTGCTACCAAATGATAAACAGTTGGGATTTGCCTGCTTTTTTTGTTTGAATCTGGGTCCAGTGAGAAATGGACCTGTATTTATTCATACCCAGCTGCCGTCTTGGGCCCAAGCCCCAGTACAGCTGATAAAAATACGTTCTGTTTTGCGGATGAGGATAGGCTTTGTTAGCCCAATTCAGGTAACAGAACAAAAGGTGTTACGAGACCTGGCCTAGGAACACTTTAATTAGGTTAACAAAAGCTCGGATGAAACCAGATCTCTTTGAGGAGCTTCCTCGTGTTTCCAGCTGGATTTAAAAAAATGTTACTTGCTAGTCCCAGACATTCGCTGTGGTCTGTTGCTTGCTCTGTTAGCAAACATAGCTAACTGACAAGGGAGTTTTTAACCGTGTCTCTCTTTGGGTTACGCTGCAGCATTCGCTCTTCAAGTAACAGCCAGGTGAACAAGCTGACCCTGTCTGGGAGCGACACTGCCATTCTGGAGGAGACTGTGGGAGCAGGCGGCGGGGCTGCGGAGGAAGGCGAGGTGCGCCGCGTCACGGATAACGAAAAGGATGGCGTTCAGTACAGCTACGCCTTCTTTCACTTCATGCTCTTCCTTGCCTCTCTTTACATCATGATGACACTCACAAACTGGTACAGGTAAGAGCAAGGCAGAAAGCGATGTGGTGTATGTGCCAGACCGTGTTTCCAGGCGGACAGGAGGCTCCTGTCTGGCTGGTTAAGGTGCTGTCCCTGTGCCAGTCGCACTGGAGTTGTGCCTTTTCAAGTTTGTGTTGCTGAATAAGATGTAAAAAGCCTGTACAAAAAGACAAGATGGGCAGCTGCAGTCCTAGCGGACTACTTCACAGCTGCAAGGGCAGAAAGCGCGGTTCCCATCCTTCAGGTACGCAAGCAGCGGGAAGGAGATGTGAAACCGGCTTAGGGCGGCCTCCTGGGAAGGCTGTGGGAGCGCAGCCCAATGCTGCTGGCTCGGGGACAGATGTGCAGGGACGGCCGTATGTGCCACTTCAAGAGAGAGATGGGTTCCTAGATCTGGTAGGAACATCTGGACAGTGGGAGCACTTTGGAGGGCCACAGGAATGCTCCGAGGGTGGCCCAGCTCTGCTGTGAGCTGGGGGTGCTCAGCCTGGAGAGGAGGAGGCTGCGGGGAGACCTCACTGCGGCCTCTCAGTGCTTAAAGGGGGCCGACAAGAAAGATGGGGATGGTCTTTTTAGCAAGGCCTGCTGCGACAGGACAAGGGGGAATGGTTTTAAACTAAATGTCCCAACCGGTACTCTGTACCAGTACTCTGTACTCTTTCGGCACAGGAGGGACATGGACCTGTTGGAGCAGGGCCAGAGGAGGCCACAAAAACGATCCGAGGGCTGGAGCACCTCTGCTGTGAGGAGAGGCTGAGAGAGCTGGGGGGGTTCAGCCTGGAGAGGAGAAGGCTGTGGGGAGACCCGATTGCGGCCTTTCAGTACCTAAAGGGGGCCTACAAGAAAGATGGGGACAGACTTTTAGCAAGGTCTGCTGTGACAGGACAAGGGGTGATGGTTTTAACTAAAGGAGGGGAGATTTAGACTGAACACAAGGAAAAAAAATTCACGCTGAGGGTGGTGAACCACTGGAAGGGGTTGCCCAGAGAGGTGGGAGCTGCCCCATCCCTGCAAACACTCAAGGCCAGGCGGGATGGGGCTCTGAGCAACCTGATCCGGTTGGAGATGTCCCTGCCCATGGCAGGGGGTCGGACTGGGTGGCCTTTAAAGGTCCCTTCCCTCCCAAAGGGTTCTGTGACTCTCTGACATGTCCTCTGCTGCTGCAGCTTTTAACTGCTTTCCCCAGGACTGCCATAGGGTCTAAATCAGCAAATTCGCCTACAGAGCAGCAGCCCTCAGAAATCTATGGCATAGCTCACCCAAAGATTTCCCTTAAAAGCAGCACGTCAACAGATGCAACCAGGCAACTGCTGCTCCAGCTGTCTCCCCATGCTCCTCCCACAAAGGCGCTTGCATTGGTGTCCCACGGCCTTGTTCTAAGGTCAGATTCATATCAGAGACAGCAAGGAAGAGTGGCAGGTGCCTTTATATCTATTAACTGACAATTTACTTTTTAGCCCTGATGCAGATTTTAAAACAATGACAAGTAAGTGGCCGGCCGTGTGGGTGAAGATAACCTCCAGCTGGGTCTGCCTCCTGCTCTATCTTTGGACCCTGGTGGCTCCTCTCGTCCTCACTAACAGGGACTTCAGCTAAATTGCTGCGCCTGTCCGAGCTTACAAAAGTGGGGAACTTCTTGCTGAAAGCCAAAATGTTCATGTATTGCTTTAGTTACACTATGTTACTGTTTCTTATGTTAATAGGAACATGCAGGCAAATAGAAAGTTATGTATTGCGTAATGCTTGATGCAGGATCAACATTATTATTGGTTATCTTTCTATTTTAACCATGGTTAACTTGTTGCTGCATTTTTAAAATTCACTACAGCTGTGCTGTCAAAGCACAAAAACATTTGTTCTGTCCCATAGCCACAACGTTTCTACTGAATAGCAGTAACATTTAGCTAAATAAGAAGTAATATATTTTAAAGAACAATTATATTCAGCATAATGCACTAGTATGCTAACGCTTCAGTTCCTGGGAACTGTAAGCCATGCTGCTTAATTTCTACATTCCACTGCAAAGGTTATATTTAAAGCAAAAATTTATTTAAATTATACTTAACTTTCTGTGTTGTGGCAAAACCCCCCTTATTCTTCCCCAAAAGTGGAGAATTTCGAGGTTTGAAAAAACGATTAACTCTAATTCCTTTTAAGAACAAAGCTGTCCTTTCTAGGAGGTAACTACTTCTTTAGTATGTTTGCCAAATATCGAGTAGTAAGTGTATGACTAGCTTGAACAACTTTACGGTGGAAAAATAGAGCTTCTCATTGATTTCACTTGTCCAATATGCTTATGAAAATAATGTACATGAAATGATTATTATTGGCACTAAGGCATTTGCACTGTAAACTCGTTTGAATAAAGCAGACTAACTACTGAAACTGTCCCAGCTCTGTTCAGAAGCGTTAAGCAGCAGCAGTTACTCTCCAATGCAAGATGCTACCTCCAATGATTAAAGCGCTGATTATGACTGGATGTTTTCTCCATACAGCAAAGAGGAAGTCATGCTGTGTTTCTTTTGAAACAAAACAGCACCTTCCATGTGCTTCTCTGAATGTCAAAGCCTGTTCCCTGCAGCTGCTCAGGTGCAGTTGTTCAAGTAAAACTTCCTTCTGCAGGAGAAAGCAACACCTTTTTCTAACGTAACTCTTATACTTAGTTGTAAATGTGTGTTTAGTGTGGAACTAAATGTATGTGGCTGTTGGCTTTTACAATAAAATACCCCAAGACAACACAAGGCAAACATATTTAAAAGATCAAATTAGCAGCTGTTACAATGTGTTTAATCACCCAGTCATGCATCATAAAATTACACATTTTGACCACTCCATTTTATAAAATGCAATATAAAAATAAATTTTGTCAAAATAAGATGTACACTTAACCACCCAACACCTCTAGGCCCACATACAACAGAAGGCAAAATTATTAGTTTGAATAACGCAATGATTAACTCCTGCCAAAATGAGATTTAACCAAAAAAAAAAGAAAAAATTCACCCAGTTCCTGAAAATTCCTCAGGGTTTGTAACACCCAGTTGCAAGAATACAAATTCAAGTACTTTTACGTACAGTGTGCGGCTCCCTTCTGTCCCACTGAATGCCAAGAGCCATGGCTGCCCCGTGCAGTTCAAGTATCTTTCCTTATTATGTGTTGGATGTGGCAGGGCTGGCTTCTGAACTGGGCAAGGCACGCAGCCTCCAGACCCAATTTCAAGTGGGAAAAAAGAACAGATCGGTTTTAGTGCTGTGAAAAAACAATACAAAACAAACAAAAAAACCACCCTGTAAGCTTTTCCTATCTCTTGCAGATAAGGAGACTCGATACTTAAAACGAGTGTTTAGTTTCCAAATGCTGACATTACAAATTTTGGGAACAAACTGATTTCTCTGCTCCAAGAGCATTCTCAGCTCAGTAGTCAGGCACATATAAGACAGAGCTGTGCTTTCTCAAGCCAAGCACTGGTTATGAACCTAAAAGAGGGGAGAGAGACAGCTCAGTAAAGTTGCAACGCTGTCTGAGTTCTAAAGCCCAGAAAGAGCAAATTAGAAGTAACAGTTAGATGCTTGACACAGGTAGTAAGCCTGGCTTAGTTCAAGCATCCTGACATCAACTGCCCAGCAGCCAGCTTCAAGAAAAGGAAGTTTGGAGGCATAACACAGGCTATGTTCAGCATTGATAATGTAGCCTTATCTATTATGTTTAAATCATACGCTTTATTCTTAGTTTCTCCGCGAGCAGAGGAGAAAAGGGGAGAGTTGGATCTAGTTTGCCTAGTATTTAAGGCATGCAGGAGAATATAAAAGACTGAAAAAGGGTTTGCTTTCTGTAGAACACCACTGCCGAACACCACGAGGTTTTCTTCTTTTTGGAAGGACACTAAATGGAATTTTGAATATTCAACCTCCCTCTCTAGTAGTTACCTCAGGGGATCAACGTAGCTGTTCTTGTAGGTTAACTGTCAAAAAACCACCACCTCGAACCCTGCAGCACAATTAAGGAGAGAGTTTCAAATACCAGTTGTGCCTTCTAGGAAAAACGGTCCATCCGACTTTTAATTGTACAGTGTGGCTGGAATTAAGAGGCACTAAACCAACATAAACACCAGTTCTGGCAGTTAAAGAGCGTGGGCAGCCACTTACCTTTCTATGTCCCGGTGCTGTGTGCTACTGTCTTGCTAGGTGGCACAAAGAACTTAATTAATCTCTGCAAAACACGCGGCCCGTTCTGGTCAGAAATGAGGAGGAAGTGGGTAGCAGTACTCTTTTACCTTATTTTAAGTAGTTGAAGGTGGGGTTTTTCCTGCACTAAAGGTAAAGGCTGTGAAAGAAGAGTAAGAATTGACTTACAAAGGTAGGAAAAATCAGATGATTTCAGTAAGGGAAATTCATCTCTTCCCACCTTTATTCTAAAACAGTTCAAGTGGCGAGTTCCCTGCTCCCACAAATTCTCAATTACCACCCAGAAAAACAGCTTCATGGTTTACCCCTTTCCAAAACCCAGTCTCCTTCTTTAATAAATACTTGGATGACAGGGATGGCATTTGCTACGCCCTAGTTCCAGGGTGAGGTCTGCTGCCAGCTCCGAAGTCATTACGGTGGAAGAGGAGTCTTTTTTGGCAGTGCAATCACGCCGTAGGGGGACTGAGGGGAAGACAGACATTCAAAACAGAGTTTGGCACTTTGCAAAATGAATGTCTGAAATCCTCAGGATGCTTTAGTTTTATGTTTACAGAAACATAACTGGTACCTCTAATCACACTTGGCACTAAATAAAGGTTTCATCCCGAGAAAGTGCTCTAGAGATAAGTCTCCAATTAGAAGGGATGTTCTTTTTCACTGAAGAGTGAAACATTTCGCCTTGAAGGAATCGGGTGTGCTTTCCTGGTCCTAGCAGGGTTTCCCATCTCCACACTATTGTAGCGTGGAAAAACAAGTGCAAAGAGTGTACTGAGAGTTAAGTTCTAATGCAAGACCATTAAACATTGGGGAGCGGGAACAGCTTATTTAGACATCGGTATCTTACCCTGATTTGACATTGGAGTCTTAGTTCTGTCTCTAGACAAAGACCTAGAAGCACAGGCATACAAGCTATGGGTAAATATTACAGAGGTGATTAAAGTCTAAGTTCATACAGGAACATGACAACCAAAGACAAAAAAGAGGTCAACGAAGTCAAAACCAAAGTTGTAACATTTCACAAAAGAGCCGACAAGCACAGTGAACAAAATGCTACAATACCAGGAAATTTAAGAATGTGCTTTCAAATAGCCTGTCTGCATTTGGTTTCACAGACATAAACTCAAATTCTGCCCAAAGTAACAAGCTAAAGCAGCACCTTGCTGTCTTACGTGAAGTATTGCCTTCTATACATCATACGCCAACTGCTACAAAGCCTCCTTACAAACTCTGAGTTACTTACCCAATTCCTCATCACAACCAGCTGAAGAAAAGAACAGCCGATAAAGTGGGAAGGTGGCTGACACAGCTTTTTCTTATTTGGTCCTGAACCTCATTATTTGAAGCTGCATCCAATCAAAAGCCTTAGTACCTGATCTGAAAAACTTCCTGTTTTCTGAAAACGAAGATTGCATCTGTTTATAATCAGCCTTGGTACAGATGTTGTAGTAGTTAACCCACCAGTTATAGTTCCTCCTACTGTGAGGAAGTTTCAGAGATTATCTCCATACTGATACTCACGGATAAGAAAGTTTTGCTCTGTGTTAATTTGTGCCAAATATTCATTGAGATATTCCAGAAATGCCAACTCACCATCTGAACCAAGTGACAGAGGACAGGTCAAGTTAGACTTGTATGTTTTTAAGCAATCTTCACTGACAGAAATACATTTGGCAGAGTTGAAAAGCAATTTTGTCTTGGATTACTGGTTTTCAGAAAGGGAAGGGAATGGATGGTCACAAAACTAGTAAATCATCATTGTCACTTTTCACCTGGGCGGGGAGGGGATGTGAAACTATCAAGCTTACCATCCTGCAATATATTTTCTTCTTTATCATTCAAAAGAATAGGCCAGTTGGCATCATTCACACAGAGCTCGATGAGCCTCAAGTATTCTACACAACTTGTGCTCTTCGCCTTTATCCTCCCCGAACTCTGCCCTGCCCCCATTGTGCCCTCTTCAGCTTCCTTTGGTTCTACAGTGTAAAGTGCCTCAGCAGTCTGTTCCTAAACTGCAGGTTTAGGAGTAAGGCAGAGTTCACAACATCACCTAGCAGAACTGATCTTAACTGTGTTGGAAAACTTCCCTTCACTGCTTTGTTAGTAACAGTAATAGAGCTGAGGTTTCATGCCTCGCAGAGAATCATCGCATTGCTTTTCGTCAGCATCCCCACTCACTAGCATGTCGTGGGGGGAGCTGTCACACGGGAGAACCAGCTGTGAGAAATCACGCAGAAAGTCCTCTTCAGAGGCTAGCAGCAGCTCGTTCCACGCGGAGATGTCCAGCTTCCCTGAAGTACCACCGTACTCTTCAGGAAGGATCACTGGAGGAATGTTTTGATGAAGGGAATTCAGATCACAGCCATGAAGAAAAAACTGAAGAAGAAACCAAAAGATAGCTTTACAAGTGCATACCAAAGACTTTAAAGCAAATTACCGAAACAGTCAGCTAACGAGCTTATTTTGAGTTAAAGAGCAAATTTTAGAAGTGATGTCTTTATGGGCAAGCGGCAGCAGACAACACCGGGCAGGTGCAGTCAGACAGACGCGTGAGAGAAGCCTTGAGACGATTCCAGTCTAGTGCAGCTTAAATCCCAGCAAG